AAGGAGGTGAGGAATCTTAAATGATGTAAATCAAGAATTTAAAAAAATTTTTTTTTTTTTTTTGTATAAATTGAAAAAGCATTAAAATAATAAAAATATTTCATTTGATTGTACTTATTTCCAAGGATTTTCTATTACCTTAGCTACTTTGGGCGGTAAGAGGCAGAACAATAGCAGAGTATATGGGTAAAGTTAATGTTTCAAACATGGATTGTTAGTGTCTAACAATAGAATATTTATTGTATGACATTATTTAGACATTGGTTTATAGTTTCTGCCTTGAAATTATTATTTTTTTCTGTGCATATATATTAATTTTGTATTAAAATTTATAAGTCATGTCATGCTAGGCTTACATTATTTAGAAGTACACATACACAACTTATTTCATTTAGACATTGGTTTATAATTTCAGCCTTGAAATTATTTTTTTTTCGGTGCATATACATTAATTTTTTATTGAAAATTTTAAATCATGACGTGCTAGGCATACTATATTTAGAAGTACACATAAACAACTTATTTCATTTTGTCCCCAGGATGTTGAGCAAATGACCTCCTTAGAATATGGTGAAAGAACAAGGCAGCGCATAGATGATGATATAACAAATGAAACAAATTATTATCAGCCAACTTCCTATATTAACAACGATGCTGGTACTGCCCACATCTCTGTTGTGGATGTGGAAGGCAATGCTGTTTCTGTTACTAGCACAATCAATACATAGTAAGATTTTACCCAAATGAAAAAGAAAAAATTCATTTTACACTTAGCCTATTTTTATTCATTAAAATGTATTATCTTACATTTGTCTATTTCCAGTTTTGGTAGCAGGGTAAGGGGAAATAGAACTGGTATAATATTCAATAATGAGATGGATGATTTCTCAACACCAAATTCACCAAACTACTTTGGACTTCCAGCATCTGAAGCCAATTTTATCCGTCCAGGGAAAAGACCTATGTCATCAATGTGTCCAGCAATACTTTGGGATAAAAAATCTAAAAGGATCAAACTTGTTACTGGTGCTGCTGGGGGAAGCAAAATTACATCAGCAACTGCTTTGGTATTCATTTTCTTTTCTCTCTTTAATTATAAGAAGCTGTATTCAGAAAAATTTTAGTTAGTTTTAAATTTACTACATACATGCTTTAAAATGATGTGTGTGTGTGGCATGCACTTCAGAATTGCATCTGTGTGTACTAGATTAATAAATAAACTTTTTTGCAGCACGTATATTTTATTGGAGTGTACAATATCTTTTAGATATTTTTTAAATTTATTTTAAGAATATTATTGATGTTCTTTGGTTTGGTATGCCATTACCTGCATCCATAGACCGCCCAAGACTTCACCATCAACTTATGCCTCCTGAACTGGTGGTTGAAAAAGACTACCCAGAGGTGAGACTTGGCTATAATATTGCAAACATAATGCATTTATTTTAGTTTTAATTAAAATAAAGGTGTACATTAGGCTTATATGTATATAATGTGCACATTTAATTTTAAGAAGGTAATGTTTTTGAAAATGAAATGAAGTCCTTCAGCCTAACATTTTTCTAACTTAATGAAAATGTAGAAATCATTCTCATTAGACATTAAGCAATTTTAAAAAATACACATTATGAAATAGGCAGTTCATTTTCAGTCTTATTTCAAAAGCAAATTGTGTCAAAACATAAAATCTGATATCACAAAGGCCTTGAGGTTTTATATGTCTAGTCTATTAAGTTATATTGCATCTCTTTTCCACAATCACCTTCATTAGGTTTAAATATCTTAAGTGAAACCTGTTTAAGGCCTTCTGTAAGCATACCCTTTTGTTTTTAAAATTAGGAATGTGCATATGTATAAAATATGTATTTAAAATGAAAAAAAACAAAACAGTTTGTACTATTCATTAGCCAGATTTATTGGTTGTTAGATTAGCAGCAACTTCATTACATGTTTGCGCTGGGCCTAGTCTGGTTGGGAATAAGGATAATAAGTGGAAATTAAGATTTGGTATTAGAAAAAAAAATTCGACTTTGAATTCTATTCATTATTTAATAAGTATAAAATTGCGATCAAATTAACTTTACTTTATGAACCTTGCAACCTATGGCATATTTATATGCCAGTGACTATAAAAGTAAATAAAGTACTGGAACTTTCGATTAAGGTGAAAATTTCGCCCAATTATTACATTTTAGTACATGAAAGCTGAGTTAGCGCGGGGCCCACTGCGACAGCATAGGTTGCAGTGGCCTAAGACCGGCCCTGATAATTTTTATGCATGGCATTTCTTTTCTTTCAAGTTAATTTAATTTCCAATTATCTAACTTTAAGGATTAAACTATAAGCTTTCAGATTATCAGATGATTGGAATAATGTTATTGAAGTCTCTTGATTTTGTAATATAAGTATGTTTCTGGTGTGGAGGGTGGTTACGTGGTAAAGATGCTCTTAAACTTTGATTGGCTTAGGGCAGGTAAGTAGTAGTGAGTTGAGATTAATGTGGACTTTGTGCTAGCTAAGTCTCTGAGTCCTGTTTAACAGTGTTGTTATATTAACCATAGCCAGTCCTATTCCATGTCCTCAAAAATGGTAGTAGACAAGAGAAATAAAAAAAAGAAGTTGTAAAAAGAAAATCTACTCATAACAAACAGAAAATAATGACTTTATTTGTAACTTAACTTTTTTTTTGTCTAATATCATCTGTCTTCACAATGACAGTTACTCATGTTATTTAATCATTTTTCTTTCAGACTATACTCAATGGACTTAGAGCTAAAGGACATGTGACAAAAAATATGGTTGGTTATTCAGTGATTCAAGCAGTTGATGTGCTAGAAAATGGTATTATTGGAACTGCTGATTTTCGAAAGGGAGGAGAGCCAAGTGGATATTAACTTTGTAAATAATACTTTAATTTATTTAAGCAGGCTGATTAGTGTAAGTGTTAGTCCAAATGTTGTATTTTTTAATGAGAGAATATGGGTTTAATTCATTGTTGCTTTTCTCTAAAAATATTTTTTTTTACTTGATGTGCAATTGGATATATGTGACAGTATGATTTTTGAGAAAGCAACTGCTGTGAGAAGACTAACCTTACACAAGTTCAGCCTATGCTAATGTTCAAGTGTTGTGTACATATCACTTTTGTTGTCAATTCAGTCATTATATTTACAAATTATATTCAGTAGCTAGAATGAAGTATTCTAGCATTCTATAGTAGTCTATTACTACTAGTGCAAGTATTGAGTGCAACTACAAAATACATTCTTATTAGAACTGAACTCAAAAAGAATGACCAAGTAATTATTGCTTTGCTGTTCAACATTTGATGGTAACTATTTAGACCACCTTTTGTTCTTTATATTTTGTGAAGCTTTTTGTTATTCCATTCGACCAATCTTACATCTGTTCAAGTAAATGAATGGGACTGGGCTCTAAAAACAGTTGCCCTCTGCTGTATACATTGAGGCAATCAATTGGAATTGGATAAAATGAGAATCTCTAAGTAAATTTTTTTCCTATCTAGAGATTCTTATTACGTATTCATTTCAAATGTAAGTAAACCAGTAACACAAATAGCCCATGTAAGCTTTAAAAATGTATCATTACTGGTATGTACCGGTATCTAAATACTAAGTGTGAATTTCTTTTTAATGCTTAGTCACTGAAACTATTTTTACAAAAATGAGAATGCAAATCAACAAATTATTTGTACATTACTGTGAAAAAGGGGGGGGGGGGGGGTGACATTACATCCTATTTAGTAAATTACCTCTAACTCTTATTATTAAATATATTATTACTAATGAATTTCAGGGGCTGAAGGACATAAATATCCATTTCACTTTTTCAAAGTTGCTTATGGTGTAAGGGTTGTAATGATATGTATTTATAGCACTTATGCTTGTTTGTTTGCTAACACCTTATACTTGACCAAAGTCTTATTTGTTCACCGGTTGTAACAACTTTATCAAGCTGTTGATCTACTTTTCTTCAGACAAGGGCTTCAAATGTGTATACTTTCTACACTGTATTTATCTGTAAATGTACATACATACACACAATGTTGACTTGTCTCTTTCCTAATAAAGTATCTAGTCTAGAATTTGTTCCATTCCTCAAATCAGCTGGCTACGTAATGCTCAATACTTTTTTTTTTTTTTAACTTGTAAAAAAAAATTAAAATAAATGTAATCTAAGAATCAATGTATATTTGAACTGTCAATAGTATATGGTCAGTTCGTTCTCATCAAGTTGCTTTTTCAGGTTTAGATATAGTTGTAACCAAAAAAACTCTTAGCATTATTAATACTAATATTTTATGGCACATGATCAATACAAGTTTAAATATTACAATTATTTGTCCAGGGTTTAGGTGACTTAACCATATAATAGAGAATTTTGTGAAAATAAGCTATTTACTCATACAACTTACAAGAGAGGTGATCTTACCATGATGAAATGTTCTAAACTGTCACAATATGCAAACAGCACTGTTATTACACATTAGTGTTTCACACAAACATTACTGAGTTCAGAGCATGCTCCCCAGAAGCTAGAATGATAATTATTTGTTGTGTAAATATGTAAATTTGTTAATTTTTAAAGATCATTAATTCTAATTACTTAATCAGGTTACATACTGCTCATTCTTTTCATTGCATGTTTTCAACTTATGCACTCCCAACTTTTTTTTAATTGACATCTGTTTAGAAAGTCGAGAGTGATAGATAATAGCATATATTAACTTTTCCATTCCATTGAATCACTCAAATATTTTTCTACTTAAAATGTCAGTATTGCTTCTTCTGCTATTTATAAATTGGTCTGCTTTTATTCATTGAACAATGAGATTTCCCCTACACAATGTTTGAATGAATATTATTGACTAATGTACTATTTGCATTGAATTTAGACATCTTAAAAAAGAAACTGATGTGATGACAATTAGGTCAACATTAATCAATACAAATGAGTTTGCAATCCTTAAAATTCCAAACTTTTTTTTTTTTTTTGTATTCTTATAAATTATATTTTATTCTTCACTGAAAATAATGCTGTACTAATTGCAGCCTGTTATTATAAATTGAACAATTTTTTTTAACCAATCTTTTTAACACACCAGACTTGCAAAACAAAGTGTGTGTTTATTAATGAGATTGCAATTTTATTTAAAGTGTTAGAGTCCTAAATATATAATTAATTCTGGTCAAATGAAATGTTTGCAAGATTTGCTTGCAAGTTTGCATTTTGTTGTCAATAGTGACATTGTGAGAGACATAAGTGTGAAGAAATGTCAATTCACAGCAGCAGTAATAATAAATAATCCAAAGTTGACCAACTACTGCCAGTATTAGTAGTTTGTAAAACAGATCTTTTTGGTGTACTTCTTGGAAAACATTGACTTTGTTCTCTTGCATCAGAAGTTGGTTAATTTCAAGTTTTTGTATTTATATTAGTTTATAAATCAAAACTATGTTTATTGCTGTTTTTAGTTTCCAATGGTTTTCTTTCTCTAATGCTATTTACTGAACAGACAAAAATCATAGCCCATCGCTTTAGATAGATTCAAAGATTTCAACAGGTTCCCATTGTATGCATCTGCGATGCCAGAAGTTGTATTTACTGTACATCTCAATCAAATTTTGCTTGTATGTACATAATTACCCATTTTAATGTGCTATTAAATTTCATATGAAAGGAAATTTCATCTTTGAATATTTATTTCTCTGATTTTCTTTTAGTGACTTTTACTTTAAAAAATAAATATGGAACCACATTTTAAATTTACTTAATCTAAGCACATCATGTTACTGGTAAAGTACAGAATAAATATAGATTACTAGATCCGAGAACATTTTCTTTTATTGAACCATGTGACTGAAGTCCTAATTTCACAGAAAACTACTCTGCTTACATTCTAGCTGCTGCCAAAAAAAAATGTATCAACATAGAATTTAGTCATTGGATCTTCTAGAAAGGTTAATCTTTCAAATGTTGCTGTTATTGAGTAATTTACCATTCATAACGATTTAAGATTTGTTGCATAATTTTAACAATTCAACTCAAGAAAATGAATACCTTATTTCATATTGACATAGCTTATTGCAGTAGTGTAGGGTGATTGTAATTTGATCAAACCATGAAATACTAGGTACCGGTACTGTATTCTGCTGTCTGCTTGGTTTTTGTGGTCAAACAATAAACCCTGACCTTTGAAAAGTGAACTTTTACTAAAAATAACTTACCGTTTTTTCTTGCTGGTTTCATGGTTTCGACAATTCCTGTCTACATCCGATTGACTCTTAAGTAGCTCGCTTTGGTGATCTAAGGGACTTTATAAAGAAGGTGTTTTCATACCTGTTGGCATGGCTTGGGTCCCCCCCCCCCCCTTTCATCCCTTGCTAAAGCATCATTGCTTTTGTGGGATGAAATGGGCAACATTCAAGCAGTACATGCAATGGTGCATCTTGCCGGGTATTACTCATTTACGACTTATGTCCCTTCAAAAGAGATAATCCTATGCAAAACATGTCAGCTAGTTTTTAAAAGTAGTTTTACATAAATATTTTTTTATCGGCCTGAGAATTCTAGTTTCACTTTTCCAACTTTGACCCCCTCATCACCCCTAAAAAAAAGAAATTTTACATAAAATCCTTGACTTCGTCTTCTTAATTAAATATTTATGGTCGGACCTCTTTTGCATCACTCTGGCGTACCGGTACCTCAACACACAAAATAATATATTTATAACTACTCCTATGTTTAATTATTTTTTTACACACAAAATTACGTATTCAGTCAATGTCGACTTCACCAAAAAAAAAAAAAGATTATATCTTATGCAATGTCTACAAAAGCAAGTTACGCTAAAAAAGAAATGTACGGAAAAAAAAGTTTCTATTTGTTTAAAAAGCACATTTCTTGTTCCATGCGTTAGAACAAATTCGTACAAGTGCTCATTTTCCCTAGTGTCATTAGAGAATGGAATGTGTTGCTTGCCTGAATATGCCAGGAAAACCGACTTAGCAGAGTTTAAGTCATTGATTAACATGCACGACTAGATTGATATGAAATGCGTAAGACGTAATTATCTTCGTTTTAAAGTAGTCTGTAATATATATTTAGGAGGGGTGGACAGGCAGTAGTACCCTCTTTTTGGGGGTAGCTTGGCTCACTCTTGGTCCCCACGCGGTACCCAACTCTCACCTGTGGCTCCTAGAAGCTGTAGCATGCGCAGCGGCCACACCCCGGCATCGGCTTTGACTACACTGTGGTTCTGTCAAAACTAGCATATGAAGTCTGGACTTGGCGGCCTGTGAGTAACGTCACAAAACTAGACAAATCGGACAGAAAGGCAACTACCAGCACAGTGCTGTGGATCACTCTAGAGCAGGACAAGACACACTGCAAGTCTCTGGTCATCCAGTGCATCAAACTCGTCCCCGGACTTCTTGACAAAATCTTTTCTTCCGGAAAAGAATGGACTTTAGGGCAACAGAGTCATGTCGATGTGTTGCGCGAATCCTCCTCACCAAAATTCCAGCGCAAGTGACGTCAATAGCCCCCAGGGACATAAGAAGAATTAGAAGACTTGGTGACGTCCAAAACCAAGACCCCACACCCTATGGTCTGCAAATCAAAGCCAACATGGCTTTAAAAGGAACATCAGCATTGGTGGCGAAAAGCTGACGTGTCAGTAGCTTTTAATACCTTAGAACTATTGTCTCAGATGAAAGAACCAAACCTGAACTACTGACCAGAACTGCACAGCAGCACTTGCGAAACTAAAAGCAACCTGGACAGACAAGGGCATAGCCCTCGACACTAAAATCAGAGTGATGCTCTCCCTGGTCACAGCCACATTCTTATATGCATGCGAATCTTGGACGCTGACTGCAAATCTCGAGAAGATAATCCTAGAAGTGGAACTAAGATGCCACAGAAAGATCATAGGTATTACTTACAAAGACCGCGTCACAAATGAAGAGATTAGAAACAGGATTCATGAAGCAATCGGACCTGCTAACCACTGTCAAAAGATGTAAACTCAAGCTCTATGTTTGCATCACAAGGTCCTCAGGGATCGCGAAGACCTTTCTTCAGGGAAAAGTACAGGTACCAGGAAGACGGAGACGTAGAAAGCAATGGGAAGACATCAAAGAATGAACAGGCCTGTCAGTGAATGAAATTCTATACAAGAAAAAGGACAGAGAGGAATGGTTGACAGATCTTGTGTGGTGCCCCAAAGCTCCAACAGACTTAGAGATAGGTGAAGGGGGAAAGCTCAAGTTGAATTGTTATTATTATAGCTTTTATATAGCGCTACTTTCATACTTATAGCATGCTCAGGGCGCTTTGGTCCAATCTCGTTTGGGGGGGGGGGGGGGTATCTAGGAGTTGGTTTTCCGTGCTGCCTTTAGGCGCTCAGTAAACGCAACTCTGCCCGAGTCGGGTGTCGAACCTCGAGCCCCCTTCTAGCCAAGACAAGCCAAGTTCTAGCGCACTTAGCCTCTCCACTTGTCATTCATTTCATCCAATTGAAACACACTTCTATTGATTTATGAAAAATAAAAGCCAAATAATAATAATTATTACGGACACCTGTTTTATTTAAGTAGTTTCATTGGTCCCATACATAATTTTAAAGTCAGCACTATCGCTTTTGTTGTTCACTTTCATCTATCCCTTAGACTTTTGGAACTATGAGGCAACACTTATATTGTTAACCGTCTCTCTCCATTTCTCTCTTTTACCTTTAATTAAATGAATCTCTTAATATCTGATGTCCTCCCATTGCCATCTGCGGCAGATGATCTGCCTCTCTTCTGGCACTGTTTCGTGTAGGATAGGTGGGTCTCGTGATATGGCGATACAGTTTTTGTTTTGCCTTTTTTTTTTTTTTTTTTTGGCAGGTTGTTAGTGATACTGGTATTTATAAGTTACTTTAAAAAATAATTCAACAAATGAAGGCCAGTAAGTGAGTTTAGTTTCGGACCTACAAGTCTACAACAATTTCAAGTATTACCTCCCCGAATGACCTGACCTCGAAAAACCCATGTGATTATGCACAGACGGATATACGAATATACAGCATGAACACCCCCCCCCCCCCCCCCCCCGATTACTCTTATAAAAGTCAGGACAGGAACAAAATCCGACTTTTTCATCTTGACGTTCACGAATTCTTTAGAGTCACTCTAGACTGTTTGGAGTTGTTCCGGTACTTTCTTTTTTTCCCGACGCTAAAACTTAGGTAAGAGATCAAGTCTATTTTTGATCTAATCTAGATCTAGACTTAAGAGTGTGGGATCTAAATTTGACATTACAATTTAAGAAGTAATAGAATCTAGATTGGATAAGTTATTAGATTAAAATTACTAAATTAGATTTTTAATTTTATCATTTTGTCAAAATTTTGATTTTTCCAAGTCCAAAAAGTAAAAACTTAATAAAGGGCAAGGCTTTTGACTTGACAAAGGCATCATTACATACTAACATAGTATTAAGTATTCATAGTTTGCTTAAAAAAATAAAATATATAATAGATCACTGATAGGGAGAGAACAAACTGTAATAAATTAAATAAAATTAGATTTTATCATGCATGACGCATAGGACTTATAGTTATACAGTTATGTAATCATCTTCTTTTTAAAAGTAACGTCTGTAACTGTATCATATAACTATAATTAATTATTATAAGATAAGATAATAATAAATGGCTCTAAATCAATACCAATAACAGTAAACTCAGGTGTACATCAAGGAAGTCTTAGACTTAGGTCTACTACTCTATTTTTAATTTACTTAAATGATTTACCAAATTGTATTAAATTAGGAACAAAATTCAGATTATTTGTTGACGAATGCATAATATATAGAACAATAAAAATAACAAGATACAGAAATTTATAAAGAGAATTAGAATCTAGATAAATTACAGAAATGGGAATCAAATTGTCTTTCCACACAGAAAAATGTCAGTTATTAAGAGTAACAAAAAAACTAAAATCTAAACAAATGGTAAACCAGTAACACAGACTAAAAACGCATACCTAGGTATTATAATAAACTGAAAACTCATGGAATCCCAATATTGATGAAACGTGAAACTATCAAAAAATGAAACAAAGCATTAGGGTTTATTAAAAGAAATTTCTATAAATCAAATAAGAACAAAAAACTAAAATGTTATTTCACCTTGGTTAGGCCAATAATAGAATATGCATCCTCTGTTTGAGACCCCTCAACTCAAGAAAATATTAAGAAGCTGAAACAGCCACAAAATAGAGCAGTGAGATTCATAACAAACGAATATTCACATTTGACTAGAGTAACACCTTTAGTAAAATCACTAAATTTAGAAAGCCTTCAGGATAGAAGACTCAAAAGTAAAGTAGCAATTATACATAAAACACTGAACCATAATCTTCAAATACAAAAACAAAATCTAATAAAATACTCTGAAAGACACAAAGATAAAGGCACATTCCTCGTCCCATATGCTAGGACAAATTTGTACAAATACTCCTTCTTCCCTAGTGCTATCACAGCATGGAATGGGTTGCCTGAGCTAGCCAGGAAAACCAGTGACTTGGCAGAATTTAAGTCATTGGTTAATATGTAGGACATAATCATAATCTTTTTTGAAGTAACGTCAGTATTATATAAGATAAGATATAAGATTTAGAAATCTATGGCCA